CTTCCACCCTTACTTTTCCAATTTCCCAGTAGCCACTACACAGACCCTAACCAGTATCTGTGATGCAATCAGGTCCCTAACTCGTGATACAAAATTGTTATGAAACACACACCTGTCAAAGCTCCCACCCTACCCAATACTTAAGATGACCTGCACCTAAAGAGTTATAGAGAGTAATCTCATTGAGCTCTCCACACGTTGAAATGTACTGTAAGGCCCCGGCCACACGAGGTGAAGTTCGGAGTTTTTTTTTTTTATTACCATAAATGTCAATAGAATCTTTTGAGGAGCTACCAAGTAGTCATTAGTTTTTTGTCCCACAAACATGACTTGTCTTTGACCAGTTCTATAAACTAGTCTGTATCAAACATTGTATAACTCCACACGACCAATACAAACTCCAAAACCACTGGAAATGTCCGAAGAATAGCTCCAACCGTGCGGTCGAACTGTATCGCGGGGCCACACTCATAAGACCATGTGTGTCATCCCCTCCAACGCAGTTTAACTTCGTGAGGTCGAGGGACGACATGGCAATGCCCACCTGCCCAGGTGGCTAAACTTTGGCTCGTGTGGCCTCTCTCATTTGATTCAATGTGTTGTCGAACCCCTTAAACTTCACGCGGCTTAACTTCGAGCGGTTAAACCGCCTCGTGTGGCCGGGGGCCCAATAATAATAGATAAATCTACAACCCCTTGCTTTTTTCCTATCAGCCAGGAATTTGTCTGACCAATTAATCAGCTAATCTTTTGTTTTAACCCCTAAGGTGGGTAGAATTCCAGCGGGGTAAGGTTCCAGCTCAGCTATTGGGGTAATTTTACGTGGGGGAAAGATTCTGGACTGTAAATCTACAGTTTCCCCTGCCCATACATATATCATATGTACAGTTACAGTTCTGTATACAATACTCCTTTATGGAAGATAACAATACAGTAACTGTACTGAAGCTACAAGCAGCACAAGTGGTTTGTCAATGAAACAAAAATATACAGTGGTTATACAAGTTGAAATAAATTCAAATGGACACAAAAATGTGTGTATCGTAAATAAAGATGTTACTGCTACATGATACAAAATGAACACTGATAAATATGCACCGACTGCTGAAATTGAGCGTGGGAAGTGAGGGACTGAAAACTTTCCTGTCCGTATGGACAGCTAAATATGGATAAAATACGATAAAATGGGTTGGGAATATGAAAACGTGATGTATAGATGTTATGTTTGTCATGTAGGTGTTTCGTACTTTGAATAATTGTTAAATAGAGGTAGGTATGTTTCTAAAGAAATAAGTGTTGTATACAGGGTTTTACACACATTCTGTTCACTATATAGTGGCCCATTTTCTATTGAATGGTATAATTCAGCGATTGCACGGGGACTGCAAAATATGTTATATAGAGTAATTTGTTACATTGAGGCAAGTTTTAGTGAGGTACCCAAACCCTGTCTATTTTCATTTGACTGCCATGAGTATTCTTCATCAAGGGGGGTAGAATTCCAGCTACGAACAAACTCTAGATCCCTCAGGTTACTACGCCATAGTGACGTCATTATAGCGCCTGGGAGGTAAGATTCCGGGGGAAAATTATGCTGGCCCATATCGACTACAGTAACTTAGTCTCTCTTGCAAATTCAACTTTGATGCTACATTTCAATGCAATATAAGAAAACAATCACAAATAGAGCAAAACATCGTGTTCGATGCCTATCTTCAATAATGACAGTAAAATTATCAAACAAACTAAAATGTATAAAACTGTTGATGGAATATTTGATAATACAAACTCTAAAGGACCAAAAATGTTTCCTGCATTATTAACAACATGCAGGGTATGTTAGGAGTTACACATCTGGTGGGGATCGTTCTGTTTGCTAGCCCATCCCTTTTCATCAGCCAAAATATGATAAGAGAGTCTAAATTCAAATTTTTCAAATCTTGGCATAAGTGATGAATTTTATTTGTCTCTAACTGATGAAATTCTCTGTGTAAATTACTTTTTACCCTGAGGAAATGGTCCCTGTGGCTGAAATCATTTTCTGTTATATTGTAGATTAAAAATTTGATTAAACTCATTGTGATACATAAGTTATATCAAGGCATTATTGGCTCATTTAATTCAAGATTGTGCTGTAGAAGAAAATATTACTTAAAATGGTTTACAATACCTGCATATAGTAATCCTTTGTTGCTGATTTAGGCAACTAGTTTCGGTTCTTGTTTTGAACCATCTTCAGGCCTCAAGGTGTCAAGTGATCACTTCATTTGATTGCATTGAGGCCTGAAGATGGTTCAAAACAAGAACCGAAACTAGTTGCCTAAATCAGCAACAAAGGATTACTATATGCAGGTATTGTAAACCATTTTAAGTATAATACAGTAATCCGGAGGCTAAACAACTATATTTAAAATGAAAATATTACTTTTATAAATTGTTTCCGTAAAATTATTACATATTTTATTCCTGGAAAAATTATTATTTATATACTAAGAAGAATGTTTGATAAATTGCAGCAGGACATGATTAATTTCTGTCAGTTTTAGTAGAATTTTATTTGTAAGATGCAGAAAGAGACTGTGTACTTGTGAATTATTAATTTAAGGGAATATCCCTAGGGAAGTAGCTATATTACCGTAGGTATGTGCTTCCTAGGCCTGGGACCGATTTCCTTTTTCATTTTGATGTCCCAAGGGCCATAAACACTATTCATTCAAAATGTTATATGTAAGTGACTCCCTCTTATCCGGACATCGGTTTAACCAGACTACACTCGGGGGGAAGGAAATCTATTTAACCGGACAATTTTATCAGCACATCGGTTTAACCGGACTAGACCGGCAGGAAGTGGGCAGTACTGAAATGACTGTTCTCTTGGGAAAGACTTGAGACCAGTGATCACGTGTGCTCTTCTAAATTTAAGTCAACTACTGTATACAGTATATGCATTTAAACAGTCTGTTTGAACAAGTCTTTGGGGACGTCGATTTAACTGGAAAACCCGTTATCCGGACTGGCCTCGGTCCCGAGGAGTCCGGATAAGAGGGAGTCTACTGTATGAATGTATGTATATATATTTATCCATGAATGCGATAACTTGAGTAATTTTTGTCCGATTTGATGATAGGTCTATGGGAACGGGATTTTATGTGGTAAAAATTGGTTTTCCCATTTTCAACTCACAAAACAAAACATTTTCTAATTTCTCTCAAAACTATTTTGAAGAGCTTAGAAAAAACAAATCATTTAGTATATTGCAGTGTTTTTGTACGGTTAATTCATTGGTTACGGAGAAAATTAAAAAGTTTTTAACTTAAAATTCCTATGTTATATTCTTATGGAGAATAAATCAACTGTTGTAGTTTGCTTTTTTTATGCATGTATTTTGATCAAACTTGGCAAATTTGACTAAAAACACCCTCCATTACCCTCCCTGTAGCAGCAAACCTAGGTAATAATTAAACCTAATGTAATTTTAATAGATTAAAGTTCAATCAAATCGTGGAAAGTATGGAGGTTTGCTGCGGCGGGAGTATTTCTAGGTTCATAGGTCCTCTCTAGTATTGTTTAAGTTGGGAGTATTGAGAGCTTTTTTATTAGAATTATATTTCAATCTTTTCGTCACTTTATTCAGACACCATATACGTTAAGTGTGTTTGAAACTGAATAAAAACATATGTAATAATAATAAGGTGAATACAGAATAGAGAGTAATTACCTGTGTAGCTAATTGTTACTGACTAGTGACTGTATATGAGATCAAATGCCTTTTTTAAAAGCCAATGATCAACTACAGCTGGGTCCAGATTGAAACCATATAAAAGCTAATGACTTTTCTCAGGCACCAGCAACATTGTTTTATTACCAGGCAAGCTTTAACAATAATTCAGCTACCCAGATTTTTGGCATTCAAACTCTTAAAGATATCAGTTTTTTTCTTGTTTGCACTGCTTTTTCATTATGTTGAACAGAGTAAATTAAAATTTTTGTTTGGTATCATTTAAATGTTGTCATCATTAAGGTGAAAAACAAATAATAGTTCATGCCCTAATTTTAATTTGTTGTAAGCTAATTGTGTAATATATACAGTGATTTTTCAATTGTGTCAGAGACAAAGTGCTCACTAGTCAATTTTTTTCTTTAATTGTTGTAAATCTTACCGTAAATTGTTAATAAGTTGGTTATTTATAAATCCGTCCTTAAGCATTGAGATTCAATAATATCATTATCAGAAGTAATCCCAGAGTTTGCATTAAACTCTCAATCAGTTGAGTAGAATTCAGTGTAGGTTTATAAAGTAGGCATCTCTGGGGATTGAATGCATCTCAAAATTACAGTTTTAAAATATTGCCATTGTAATAAGTTAAGTAATCGCTACTGGCCTAAGCTCTTAGGATCTACATACCCCTATTCCTGGGTTTGTTCTCTCTCTAGAACTTAGATACACCCTTTTATAATGTTAAAATGATTAAGTTCTTAAATTAAATTTATATAATATACCTGATTCTGAATTTTATTACCAATGGTCATTCTCCCTTTATTGTTTTTTTTCTGATTCATTCTTTAAAGCCCATTATTTTGCTCTTGAGAGTCAGACAATGAATCCCCTAGTCAATTATTGGTACCTATTAGATTTTTTACTTGCCAGTCATCGTACTAGAAAGGAAGCTGAATGCTCCTTTCAGTCAGCTAAGTGAGAGATTTTCACTTTGTTCTAAAATCAATACAAGTACATTGTACTTGACTTTTCATTACAGGACTTTTCACCACTTTCATGTCTGGTAAATGTCTGTATATGTACTTTAGCTCCATTTTGTTTTTATGACTTTAGACAAGTTGAGACAATATTCTTGTTGGTTTGAATATACATCATAATAGCTTTTACTGTGGAACATCTAAGAATGGATTGGTTAAGCTCAAGTATTTGATATTTTCTTTTGTATTTGACATTTTTGGTTTTTATAAATATATGGATTGTAATGGATTGAAAAAACCAGAAGTAACCATTAAAATAGTTTTTAATTAAATAAATACATGTAACAAATACAATTATAATTACCGTCTGTACCACATTAAAGCAATGAAAATCACCGTATACAAAAAGAATGTTCGACTATAACAGAAAAGATCCAGGCACACTAAACACAAATAAAAAAAGCTTACACGTTTTAGTATTTAGCACATATGAGAAGCTATTGAAAATATAATGCAAAAACAAAACACGAATTACTAAACATCAAAATTGTAATTTACTTTATTAAAAAAATATAGCGTCTAATATAAAAATAATTTTCATCTCGGTATCGTACATTATAATTTTCAAAACTAATGTAACAGTCTTGTAATTGTGTGTAAAAGACAGTTGTACAAACTAGCGTATAGTCCATTAGATATATGGGTAGATGAAAAGTAAAACTTCAAAATTAATGCTATAAAAATGCCGACTACTTACAAATGTTTGCTTAAAACTGGGTATAATATAACATCATCATGTTTAACTCTCTTTGGTGGTCCGAGATGGAAATATTAAGACACGGCTCGGCTGTTTACATGGGTTCTTGACAATCTTTCATTGGACTTGAGTGTTCTTGTAACTAAATTTAAAATTTACCAAGGGTAGCCTCTTGATTAAATTCGCTTCAACTATAGGATCTTTGCAAAATCATAAATTATATTTTAAATGGTTCTTCGCTTGAACCACTGAAATGATTTATTGTAGACTTAGGTATTTGGATCAACTATAGATTTTTTTTACCAAAATAAAGAATTTAATATACTTCCTAGGGTTTTGCCTTTAAAGAGGATTTAATTTACCAAACGTGTAAACCAATTTGACCTGAGTTTTAAAATTTTTTTCAAATTCGATTTTTATATTACAAATATGGTATTTTCTTTAATAATTAATATCAGTTCTTGATTGTTAATTTACTTAAATATTGGCTCACGTCTTTTATTTTTAGCGTGCGATCTTAGTTGTAAAAAAACTCTTATTTTGCTCTTAGTTAGGGATTACCATAGATTGATTTCTTTGACAATTAAATTAACTATTACTTGAAGCTGATCCCATTTTGTTTTCAATTAAGAGCACTTTTGTTGGTTTACATCTAAGTTGTGGTGAAGGGGCTGGAATGATCAATTCTTAATTTAAGTAATGAGGCAAACATTTTAAAACAGTTTTTGTTCTCAACTTAGAACGTGAGAATGAACAGCAGATCAATCTTTTAGAAAGTTGGAATGGTTTATTAAAATTATACCTTTCCCCATTGATTAGGAGAGTTTTTTTCTATGTTTGAAAATTAGCAAGAATAAATCAAATTGATACTAATGATATGTTTTAAAATGTTGAATTTAATAACTTTAAATAAATTTAGCAAAAGTTAGCAGAAAATCTATCATCCAACACTAGACTATTCATTTCTTTAATTCCAGGTAAGCATATTTACTCATCAAAATAAAATAAAAAAATTAGATACTTTTTGATCACAGAAGAGTGAAAGTTAAGATAATTAAGGTTTTTGGTTAAAATGTTTGACTAGGACTAAGTTAACATTTTTAAGTGCCCCTTCACCAATTGAGAGATATAGTTTATTTTTAGGATATTATACTCTACATTCTTTATTTTATAATACAATCTAAAAGTATATTCCATAGAAAAATATTGATCCGGATCACACTATGAGGCTATCACAGAACGTACAATTACACCATACAAAATCTCATCTCGCGCCAACTGATTTTAAATATTAAATAGCGTTTCTAACATATATACAATAGGTCTTACATATATAGTTTACAACCATGGCAATAATTTAAACAGTTTAAAGAAGAATTTGCATACAAATAACAAATTAACACTACAAATATAAATACAAAACAGATACAAATCAAATTGAGATATTTACAAAACATTAATACATAAAGTACACTTTCATTTCCGACTGGAAAATATTAATTCTTAGAAATAATTAAATACTGTACATTTGTTAAAAAAATAAAAAATAGAGTCTTAAGTAATCAATAAATAATAAAACACTGGAAATCATTTATAGGAGAGAGAAACATAATTAATTAACAGTAATAGTAGTATGAGGAGCGGGTTTCTTCCTCGATAAGATGCTCTTGAGATTTGCGACCTCGGATGCTAACCTGGCGACCTCAGACTTGAGGTGTGAGTCGTCCGGAGACTCGGTGGATGGAGGTGTGGTGTTAGGTCGGCCCCACTCGGCTCCTAGAGAGATACCGGAGTCTCTCTCATCGCTACTGCCCTCTGCGTCCCAAGGCGGACTGGCGCGAGACCCTGGCTCCTGCTTGATGTTCTGCAGGGAGAGCAGAGCCGTCGCTGCCACGTCCTTGTCTCCTAGATGACTCTTGTGGCGCAATTTGTGTGGAAGACTATTGTTGGGTGCCATCAGTTGCATCGGTACGCAGCCTTCGTCTCCGCTACCACTGGATAGTTCGTAAGGTGAGGACGTTCGGCTCCTACTCCTGCTCAGATTCAACACGCTGTTGCCAGCGGCTTCCAATGCAGGTGGATGAAGGGGTGGCAGTACTGGGTGGAACGGGTATGGGTACGGCTCTGGCTCGTTATAACTATCTTGTTCGTGCATTTCACGTTGGAAGATGAGTCCGTGAGTTGGTGGCGTATGCGTGTTGACTGGTCTGTGTATGACGGGGGTGGGGATGGGGTTCGGGTCTGGAGGGTACATTAGGGGCCCAGTTGTCGGGGGGCAGCCGGCCAACTTAGCTCGCTTGGCGATATTCAATACTTGTTCGTTTGTCGGCAAAGTCGCCATGACTTGTTCCACACTGACCACATTCTCTCCGTTTATTCCGAACTTATCTTTTATAGCCGCTAACTGAGCTTTGAGAAGATGGTTTTCTTTGCTCAACTCGACTACTCTCTGCTCTAAGATCATATCGTTAAACCTTCTCTTTTCTCTGGAGCGTTTGGCAGCCTCGTTGTTTCTTCTTCTCCTGTCCCAGTAGCTCTCGTCTTTCTTATTGTCGGGTATGAATTCCCGCTGTTTCCTTTGGGAGAAAAGCTCCTTCCTCTGAAGTTGTGAGGCGATGTCGAAGCCTGCTGGGTAGTTGGTCTCCGTACTGTTATTGTCATGGTCCGTGTTGAAGAGGTGATCTGCAGAGCAGTACTGGTTGGAGGGTTGGGACGTCTGCAGACTCCCGGAGCTGCTGTTGCTGTTGCTACTATGGCTCCCTGGAGCACTGTGACTGTATGGTGTTTCCCCGTTGATGGGTGACCCACTCTGTCGAGTGATGAACTCTGCCACCATCATTTGATATCAGACCATCTGCAACAAAACAAATTATGTTAAAACTCACTGAGGTTCAACTTATAATATGTATGACATTTGACTAAATCAATCCCAAAAGGAGTTAATAATTTGTGAATAACCATGCAAACTATTTATCAAACAATTAGGCACAAAGAAAATACAACATGAGGAATTGCCCAGTGTTTTAGTAAACCCTATTGCATGGAAGCTGGAATTAGCAATTTGGATTAGACTATATTTGGATTAGACTATATATTGTCTGTGAAGTGTAAAATGTTTAGTAAACAAACCAACAAAGTTATTTATTTTATTTGCAAGCTTAACAACTATTTCTATAACGAAAAAGGAATACCATATGGAGCATTTTCAAATTGCATTAGCCCATAAGTCTTAGGAAAGACAATTTTATGGGTTTCTAATTTAGATATCGAAACACCTAAAAAATTTATTCAGATATCCCATTTTAAATAGTAATAATATGTGTGTTTACTGATGATGCAAGAATAGTGCTGAAGGCTATATCAACTGAATGGTTGTGATTTGCAGACAAGAACTGAAAAAGGTTGTCAAGTCATAATTAGACTGTAATAAGTACAAACTAATAACTTTGCAATAAAAAAAAATATAAATAACACGAATATTCCAGATGTGTACAGTGTACAAGTCGGATTATCGAGTTCTAACTATAGAAATGTAATGTTTAGGATAAAGTAAGGATAATTAGTTAACCGTACGTCAGTGTCAGTTGCGGCAACGTGAACCCAAGTGGTCCCTCACGCGGCAGACCCTGTACTCGGTCACGTGTATTGTCCACGTGAGTCGAGCGCGCAGTCGCTGGGACGCACGCGGCCGAGCCACATGTCTGCCGCAAGACGTCGACGACCGCACCGCACCTCAACCGCCCCGCCGCGCACTGTCCGCTGCGGTTATGCAACAGCGCTCGCAACGTGAGCACACACCACACACCCTCCCCCGCAACAACTTATCTCTTATGCAAACCGGCCGTAACACTCATTGTCTCCCACAACGTGACGACTCTACCTTCAAGGTTTTACTGTTTCGGTTGAGATTGGAGGGTAATAACGCAGGGATTTCTTATTGGGGCTCGTGTGACTTTTACTTTAGTTTTTATACAATTATAGTTTAGCAAGACATAGTAGACTATATATAGATTATCTGGTGAAGTTTGAGCATATTTATGTTTATTTCCATAGTCAGTTGACGGTTTTACCTTGTCAAGTGAGTTTTGAGAAATCAAATTAAAAATATCAATATACTGTATATGAAAAAATATGTGTGACTTTAGTGTTATGAACACTTGATGCTCTTAGCTTTACTCTTGTTTATCAAATAAAATAAGATAGATTATCGACCAAATCAACGTGATATGGTGGACTATTAAAAGCGTGTTTTACAAACCATAGTGGCATTATAAATTGAAAGTAATAAGAAGTCCTGAACCTGAGGAGATTCAGTGTAAAGATTTATTTAAAGCTCAGACAAGGGCAAGGGAACAAAGATTTGTTACTCTGATGCTATATATAGTTGTCACTGAGGAAGTACATCAGAGGTGACAGTGATCCCATGTGTGTCGTTATATGACGCCATCTTTATAAAGAGATGAAATGTTGTGGCAAAGATAGTCCCTAGTGTAACCATTGTCACCCTGAAGGATTATTACCTATATATATTGAAAATGAATTATATTGTGAAAATGCGACAAAGAGTATCTCTGTATCTGTATCTAACGCACAATTATATCAGAACTTCAGTGATTATAAAAGGCGACAAAGAGTCTGTAATGCACAATAGTATCAGCACTTCAATGATAAACGTCGACAAAGAGTTTGTAATGCACAATAGTATCAGCACTTCAATGATAAAAGGCGACAAAGAGTCTGTAATGCACAATTGTATCAGATCTTCAACGATAAACGTCGACAAAGAGTCTGTAATGCATTGTATCAGCACTTCAATGTAAGAAGGTGATAAAACGGTAAAGCATCAGTCACACGTCACCACTTCAATGAAAAAAATTGGAGATGGGTCGCTAATGTACAAGTCATATCACCACTTCAGTATCAAGTTACAGTATACTCAAAACTAGATAACTAAATTACGTGATACAATAAGTTCTAAGCTCACACCATAAGGTCCTTGTTAAATACGACTAATCTTAAAAACAATTATATTTCCAAATGTGGGTCAAAATTATTTCGATCTTTACGTGTCTATAGCGCAAAGCAAAGATGAATCAACTGTGTAGAGAAGACACCAAGACACGATAATTTTGTTGACTCCCACACAGAACAACGACAGGTAGGTAACGAACGTCCAGGTGCTCGGGTGCCCAGGTATACAGACAAATCTTTATACAGTCTGGTTGCTGGTACAATCCTCGCACCCGAGCCTGCAGCGTCGAAAGGCATTGACCTTCCCTTCCCCCACCGATCACCGACACGGTCGTCCGTTCTGGTCTTGTTGTTTCTCTGCGATTTCATGATCTGTTGTAAGCCATTATCCAAGCCGATCCGAAATTCCTCGAAGAATAATCCGAGTTTAACGCGGTTAGAGTGAATATTGTAACTTGGCAATTTTTATTGGGTTGACAATGGGCCAGGAATGTTATTCTTGAATTAATCTTGGATTGTCCCATATTGATTATATTTTACATACCTCGCCTAACCTGACTGAATGAAGTTATTTGACTCTCCTTGTTTAATGACCGGCTCAATTTTGGGAAAGTCTGAGTTTTTAATTTTTCGAAATCGGGTTAAGCTGCCCTTGATTGTTTGGCTTTTAAAATGGTCCTTTATAAATAGACAGCTTGGGGATAATTACGCACCGCTTTTCATATTCGGAATTCAGGTAACATACGTTCACTATCTGCGTCGCTGTCCAAATTAAGGGATTAAATGGTACACAAAGTTACCCAAATCTCAACGTAACGCATGGTTGTATAAACCTTTAAAATCCACCTAAGGTCCGCGAAGGCAATTACTGAATTCAATTAAGTTCAGTTATCATTTTCTTACGGGAAGAAACTATAGAAGACATAAAAGATGCCAGCCTATTCGTTTGGACATTGTTTCTAAGGTCTAATTTGACTAAGTTTTTGAGAGTTAAAATTCAGTATAAAAAATAAATTCTAATATTTAAAAATCCGGAACTGGAGCTATGTAAAATATATAGCATGTACACAGCACATTACAGAATACTCAAATGTAATAGAAATTTTCAAACTCACTGAAGTGAGTCGCAAACCATAAAGTGGAGGAAAACAATGCCAATGTATACGTTTAGTATCCTCGGGAGATGATGTAACCTTATCGAACGGCGAGTCCGTTTTGAGGCCAATGCTAGTAGGAAATGTCGGGATAAAATAGGTTAGTGACGAATATAAAGTGGTCGTGCCTTGGCGTTTGCCATAACAGGGAGAGGTTCGCCCTGAAGTGGCCTAGAGATGGCGCGGAAGTATCGGGTCCGAGGTTGGTTCCGGATACTCACACACACACGCGCAAAACATGCGTCTTGTGGGGAACTGAATACACATATACACACACGTTGTTGTGGAGATTTGGTTTAACACAAGTATACGTTGCGAGGATTTGGATACACACAGACATACCCTACGTTTTGGTTACTTGTACAATTTACATATACACATTTAATATACACATACACGATGGGAGAAGTTGGATAAACAATTATAACGTCTAGATATATGTGTATTCTAGAACTTTATTAAATGGGTTTAAAATTCAACGTCGAGGGGGACCTTAGATCCGCAAGATAACAACATAGGTACGTCCTGAATGGATACACATATCTACAAACTGTAGGGGATGGATCGTAGACCGTATAATAAATGTACCAAAACCATAAAACAAAACAAACACACAAGGATGTCTAGTCACCACGTCCAATAGATTAGTTTATTTTTGTACGACGCTGACGCATAATTATGTGAATTTTAAGATAAAGATTAATTGCAGGATGCTTTGCTTTTGGCTAAGATCAGCTGGTCCTCTAGCAAAGGCCATTTAAAATATCAGGGTCAAGTTTTGAACCAAAACAACTACTGCCTTTCTCAGGATCGAACTGGTAACCTGATTAGATGAATCGACCGAAGACGAATGGAAGATGTGATTTTCTGTTGTGTTTCCTCCAGATAATTTAGTCGACCGTGGGGAGGGTGGAAGCTTTGATTTTTATATGTACTCCACCACGTACTCCACTGTAAAATCGACATCTCAGTAGTCAAAAATGTGGCGATTTGTTCGCAAACTATGTGGTAATTCATCAACATACAAAGTGAAAATCCTAATAAAACACACACGGGGATCACCACAAGATGGTTGTGTAAAGTCAACTTTCAGGGATGCATGAAATACTAACACCATAAATTGACGGTTTTGTCCCAAAACGTACCAGTGGCTACTTTACCACACAATGTACATTGTACACGTCCCATACAGATACAGCAAGCAACGAGCTCGGAACGGCGACATTGCAACACATGGCAATGACTTAACATGCAATATGACCCTGAAGGATCTGACGATTGACTGTAAAAATGCGGCGTTGCCAATTCGTTACCAGCAAAACAGTCGCAGCGAATCATGGTTCGAATCGTGGTTCAAGTGGTCGTATACCATTAAAGGATTTCACGAATTAGTGGGCCTCAAAAATTGTTTTAGCGATTGATCTAATAGATATTTCAATTGTTAATTAATTGTGGACTCAGTTGCATTTGCATGCTTTACATGAAAATTAAAGATTATTGTTCACCAACCGATTATTAGGTCAAATTAAATACATACTGGTCGGATGGTCTGAAATCGATAAAATTGTCGAAAATAATATTTCGAGCGGTTAAATAAACAAAAAATACGGGACAGCTGTTTAACGCGCATATGTGGAAGAGCCAGAAAGCATTTTACAAGTTATGCAACACCTAAATAAGCTATCATAGTTTAATTAATTACATAATCGCTCTTAAATTATGTTAGACT